ATGATCTTTAGCTTTTGGTTTTTGTAGGGTGTATTGATTAATGAAGTTAGTGATTTGGTATGGTTTGCTATGAAATATGATTTCACATTTTTCTCTCTCTTTACCTATTATTATATGAAAGTATTTCCAATTATCTCATTACTTTTGTCCTTTTCTGATAGTTTGTAGTGACTACTCTTGGAATTTAAACTTGCATACTTCACTCATCACAATACTCAAATTATTGTATCACTTTACCTTCAATGTAAGGAGTTGACTACCAGCTATTTTAACTTCTCACATGACATCATTAGTTCCATTATCATCATGACTTTTGCTTTATTATATGTTACACATCCCATAGCACATTGTTTTTATTGTATAGTCAGTAAATTGCTTTTTAAAGCAAAAATAAGCTAATGTAATCTTGTATATTTATCCGTATATTTGACATTTTTATATCATACCATTATTCTGTGTAGGCTCACATATCTTTCGTTCTGAATATTCTCCCATTATTATTTTAAATGTTATTTATTTATTTATTTATTTATGAGAGAGAGAGAGAGAGAGAGGGAGCAACAGCGATGAAGAGGGCAGAGAAGGAGACAGAACTCTGAAAATTCCCGCAGTGACTGAGGCTGGTCTGAAACTGAAGCATAGAGCTGAGAACTCAGTCTGGGTTTCCCACAGGGATAGCAGGAATCCAAGTACTGGAGCCATCATTTTTGCCTCCCAGGGTCCACGACACCAGGAAGCTGGGATCAGAAGCAGGGGCTAGGTATTAAGCCCAGGTAATGCAATGTGCTGTGTAGGTATCCTACATAGTGTCTCTTTACTGCAAGGCCACACCTTGCTCCATGTCATTGTTGTAGTGAAGTTGTGCCATTGATGGGGACTGTCAGTTTTACTTAGTATTTCTCTTATTTTGTAGCATACATAATTATGCCTTGAGAGTTTTTCCTCTGAAAAAAAATATGGATGCCATTCTATTGCTGGTGATATTAACATTATTTCTGAATAATATTTAAAATGAATTGTAAGCCGGCACCGTGGCTCACTAGGCTAATCCTCCACCTGCGGCGCCGGCACCCCAAGTTATAGTCCCGGTTGGGGCACCGGATTCTGTCTCGGTTGCTCCTCTTCCAGTCCGGCTCTCTGCTGTGGCCAGGGAAGGCAATGGAGGATGGCCCAGCTACTTGGGCGCCTGCACCCACATGGGGAGATAGGGAGGAGGCACCTGGCTCCTGGCTTCGGATCAGTGCAGCGCCGGCCGAAGCAGCCATTTGGGGGGTGAACCAATGGAAGGAAGACCTTTCTCTCTGTTTCTCTCTCTCTCACTGTCTAACTCTGCCTGTCAAAAAAAAAAAAAATGAATTGTAATTCTTTCGTATTTTCAATGATGATTTTAAGTTTTTCTCTTGATGTTTCATTTGTAGATTTGAGGCAGAGAGACAGAGAGAGACAGAGAGAGAGAGAAAAACACTTCCAGCCACTAGGTTGTTCCAAAATTGGTTGCAACATCCAGGACTGGCACAGATAAAGCCAAGAGGAGTCAAGAATTCCATCTGGATCTCTCACATTGGTGACAGCAACTCCAGTATTTGAGCCATTACTCACTGTTTCAAAGGCACATCAGCATGGCTCTGATTTGAAGCAGAACAGTGTGAACTCAAAAGTGGTGCCCGGTCTTTGGATGTAGACATCCCAAGCAACAAGTTCTGGAAATCCTGTTTTTTCTGACATTACTTTCTGTGGATGTAATTTTTTTTTTTAAAATTTGAAAAATCATTGGCCATTAAAATAATCCAAGCTCCCTTTAAGAGATCACAGCTATAGATATTTTATGCCTCTTTATATTTTCCAATGAGTTACTGAAATTCTATTTATTATAAAAATCACTATTGCCACGCTTGCTGTCATCTCTGTACTTTAATTTTATTAGTTTCTACTAAATCATCTTCAAACTCAAAGATATTTTCTTCAGCTGTGTTCAATTTTTTTGATTAGCCATCCCATAATATCTTAAAATTATTTCAAATATCATATTATTAATTTCTAGTGATTTTATTTGGTTCCCTTTGAGTTTCTATTTCTTTGTTTTGTTTCATCATGTGGTCATTTAACTATTTAATTTAGGTAACTTTCATTAATAGTTCATAAAACTTTAAAAGAAGATGATGAGGAAGTCCATAAAATTATCCTACTAATAAATATGAATAGTAGAGTGAATATTCTAATGCATATTTATTATAATATTAGAATATTCAATGAATCTTAGAATCAAAAAAGAAAATAACTACAGAATAGAAACAAACTATGAAGTACAAGGCATTCTGAGACACAGGATGCCATGCAATAGGAAGTAAAAACCCTCAGCTATTAATATATTTTTAAAAGTATACTAATTTATTTGAAAAACAGTTACATAGAAATAGCAGCAGGTAGAGAGATCTCACAACGTTTCATTCACCCACCAAATAGTCACAATTCAATTAGAGTTTATGAGTCAATCTAATATTATAGTTATAGTTATAAGATTGACTGGGCCAGGCTGAAGCCAGGATGCAGGAACTCCATCTAAATCTCCCACATGACTGGCAGAAGCCAAGGATTTGGGGCTTCTTCCACTGCTTTCCCAGGCACATTGGCAGGGAGCTGTATTGGAAATGGATCAGCCAGGATTTGAACCTGAACATATAGGATGCCAGCATAAAATTTTTGGCTTAACCTACTGTGTCATAATGCAGGTCATAGCTATTAGAATTTTTTTACAAAGAAAATTAAATGACATTTAATCTAGTCTTTACTTGATTATAAAACATATATAGGATAAGGAAACACTGAATCACACTATAGAGACAAGGAAAAATCCAGAATGTAGGGAACTCCATAGGAAAACTGACTTGATATGTCCAACACGTTAATGCAAGGACAAATCAAAAGAAAACTAAGGAAATCAATAGATCACACAAAATTTAAGAAATGTGTCAAGAAACTGTATTATGTTAACACATTTGAATCCTGTTTAAGAGGTGGTTGGACAGTTTTAATGTGAACACTAAATGAATATTCGATTATATTGGAGACTAATTTTCAAACTGCAATTTTGATTTATAAAAGTATACACATGCATATGTATATGGCATTTATGCTTGTGTGTGTTGAGTCACTATTGAAATTTGCTTTAATGTCATGGAGTAGATATCTCTAAAGATGACACAAGATTAGCCATGTGTTGAAGCCAGGTAATCTTGTATAGGTAGGTATTCATTCTATTATTTTCTGCAGTTTATATGTATGAAAATATAATAAGGAAAACAACAATTTTATTCATGGTGAGTGTATTTCCTTAAAGATTTATTTATTTGAGAAGAAGAGTTAAACAGAGAGAGAAGGAGAGAGAGAGAAAGAGAAAGAGAGAGAGAGAGGTCTTCCATCTCTCTAAAGGTTAACTTCCCAAATGGAGCTGGGCCAATTTAAATCCAGGAGCCTGGAGCTTCTTCTGGGTCTTCCACATGCATGCAGGGGCCCAAGCACTTGGGCCATCTTCCATTGCTTTCCCAGGCCATCAGCAGGAGCTGGATCAGAAACAGAGCAACTGGGACTGAAACCCATGCCCATCAGGGATACTGACTCCATAGGTGGAGGGTTAAATTACTATGCCACAGTGGCGACCCCAGGTGTACATTGTTATCAGTGTTGGTGATAGTATTTAAAATATACACAATATATCTTTCTCATGAAGAAAATTGGATTTCTTTCAAAGATTTTCATCAGCTGTTGTTTCTAAACAACAGATATTTGGGTTTTAAATATTCAACATAAGTATAATATTCATCTTTAATTTTCACCTTGACTGAATCTCTTCATGACCTTCCCCCAGAAATGTATAACAAAGAACACATCTGTTTGAAGGCCATACAGGAGGACTACCGAAACCCCGTGTTCCTTCTTAATTATGTGTTGTTAACAACTTTTCCTAACAAGAAGCCCAAGCGTAAAAAGTCTCTCAAGGGCTGTTCAAAAATACACGCAAAATATTTAAAACAAAATTATGTATAATAACTGTAATATTGGTCTCTATGGCGTTTCTGTTGATTATATGATATTAAACTCCAATATAGATCTCATATAATTATTTCTCTACATCGGTTCCAAATAAGTGAATCCTTTTCAGTTCAGGCAAGTGTGTGAAATGTCAAGGATTCAACTGCAGGTAAGGATGAGGACTACCTATCATGAAAAAGAATGTCAGTAAGATGGGTAAGGTCAGCCTCAGGTAAATGGAAGGTTTCAACCTTAAAATACATTTGAGTATTTAGAGCTACAAGATATTTTTATGTCCATTTTAAATGTTATGAAATTTCAGCCCTTTTACTAGGCAATATAATTTTGTGTTTATTGTCTGAAAATCATCTTATCTCCTCTTTATGAAGCTGCAAAGCACTTCTCCACATATTTCACATTGTAAAAGGGTAAATATCTTGCACTGGCTTTCTATTCAGAGTGTTTTATAGCATCAGTATAATGCTTTATTAAATCCCTGAGTTTTAATCTGAATTGTCATTTTGTCTATTTAATTAACTTCATAAAATAACAGTTTGGAAAACTGAATGGAAAAGCTTATTTCTATTGATTAAAAATAAGGAAAATATGTGATTTTTATATTCTCCTGACTTACTGTTGCTTTATCAACATAGTTTGAGTTTTACTGAGATAGACAGGAATAAGCAAGCAAGTTATATGTCTAAAAAATCAATCTCAATGTAACCTGTCAATCAAAGAGATTGCTAGAGCAACTTTTGAACTTTCAGAAAGATTTATGATGTGATTTGAAACAAATGATGCCTGAACAGAAACAAATTATTGCAGAGCTACAAAATGTAGTTAATAAGCTTAAGTGAAAGAGAAATTAAATGTGTATTTTTATTTTTTTCACAAGCAAAAGTTGTAACATGTCTTTAGTAATTATGTGAGAAAATGTTATTTTTGACCATTTTTTGTTTCTTATGCTTTAGGAATATAAAAGATACTTATGAGTAAAAAAGATTATAAAAGAACACAAGATTTTATTTGCAACATCGGTTTTCCTCAGAAGAGAAGCTGGAATCAAGAGACACATCATAATGAATTGTGGCTTGTTGCTACCTTTTGTCTTGGGAATTCCTCTTCTTTGGCATTGCCTTACAGCAACAGAGAACTCCAAAACACAGAAAATGAAGCAACTAGTGGCTCCTCATTCAAGAGTGAAGCGTGGCTGGGTGTGGAACCAATTTTCTGTACCAGAGGAAATGAATACCAGTCATCTTGTTGGCCGGGTACTTATTTTCTAAGTGTCATAGCATATTGAGTTGTAACCATGTTAAGTGATTTGGTATTTGATGACTTTGACATTTCTCAATGGAACAGCTGGAAAGTCCAAGTCACCAAAATTATTTTAGATTTGCAAGCACCAGAAGCATCCACTAAAAACTTGCAGAAAATGCAAAGCTCTGGTTTGCCCTTCTATTTCCCTTGTGAAAATGTAACCCTCATTTATCAACATCTGGAAATTTGATTGTGTTATTCTTGGTAAGGGTTCAAAGGAGCCATACTGAGATAAATATCATTGACCCATGTTTTCAATCCGAATTTCTGCTGTACTAAGTAGCTGTGGATTTACCCCGATTCATTTTTAATGAAGCAGATTAAGACCGTATCCTTTTACAATGAGCTAACTTAGTAGCCTAACACTCCTTTTGATTCGTGACATTGAAGTACAAAAAATCATTATTTTTACTCTCTTAGAAGAATATATTTAAAGAAAAGTACCTTAATGAAACAGAACATCTTCTATTTATGGTTTAGGGTTTAATTATTGCTTGGTTTTCTTTAAACAGAGGTAATTATGAAAGCACACCCTTTTCTGTAAGGCTCTTTCTCTAGATAAATGAACTGAAATAAGTTTAACCACTAATTAACTGGCACTAAAATTTAATTGGACCCAAAGGGTGAAGCACTCACAATTCATTAACTCTCTTTTCTATTCCTTTCAGGAGAGCCACAGTGCTAGCGTATTATCTGATTGCCATAGAGGTTCACCTACTGCATTAGCAAAGTACTTGAGTACATTCAACCTAAGGCTTAGATTAGGATCTTAAACAGATAGATTTCAAACTATCTGTGAAGTGTGTGTATGTGCATACCTGCAACAAGTAATATTTCTCATCCTATTTTAGTATTCTAGGGTGACTGCAGGGAAATCACTTGTCTGGTAGGTTACATGAGGCTGTATTCAGAGTCTGCTCATCAACCAAGAGTGCCTCAGTTAGCCAAGCACCTTGTGTTCTCCCATCACTAAGGGGCCCAGACTTAGCAAAGAAAGAGCTGGAGGCAAATGCAGCTGCATAACTGGAACAAAGAACATCTCCCTGGCTACCTGTCTGCTGTTACAGACATTTAGAGAGTGAACCAGTGGAGAGAAGCTATCTGTTTCCCTCTCTCTCTCTCTGTCTCTCTCTTTCTCTCTCCTTGTCCCTTTATATCTACCTTTCAAACAGAATGAAATTCATTAAATTTATAAAGATGAATTTCTGAATGATTAATCAATGCTATGTTTGATAATAAATTTACTTTCCTTTTTTCAAAATATAAAGGGTTAGCATAACACAAGACAAAGTATACTTGATATACCTTGTCCATAGAATGATTTCAAAGTTTCATTTCTTCTGGTTATAAGTCCAGGGCTCACATCATATGACACAGTTATCACTGAGAGAGAATCTGGAATTACCACACTGATCAACTAAATCATAAATCTACACAAAGACCTGTGACTGGGAATGTTTTTAAAACTTTCAATCTCATTGACCTTCTCTGAAGAAAGAATTTATTACATAAGTAGAAAAGATCTCTTAATTCTGTAATGAGGATTCCTTAAGAAAATGAATATAAAGTATATAGATAACATAGATGTTATATTTTCCAGTAAATACCCTATTGTTGACTTATTAATTTCTCATTGTTTTCCCTCATTTCCTTTCTTATATTTCCCCGTTTTCCATGTATTTGCAGCCCAGAAACAGGCATTGCTGTTTAAATATCCCTTCATTGTTATTGTCCTATCTTTCTTTAAGGCCAAATATAATATAAAAATTTGAGAGTATTGTTTTAGATTAAGAATGTAATCATGAAATAAACTTGAATCAATGATACTGTGCATAATCTCTAGGTCTTTGTTCTCCCTTTAGTATACTTTATTATTAGTCAGAAAGCTGACTAATAATTTTTATTATTATCATTATTTTATTAATACTAATACTGATAATACTAACTTTATTAATATTATTATTTTATTAATACTAATACCATTATTAGGCAGAAAACTAAGTTGTCCTTCTTTACACTTGCAGCTAAGATCTGATTTAGACAATGGAAACAATTCTTTTCAGTACAAACTTCTGGGAGCTGGAGCTGGGACTATTTTTACTATTGATGAAAAAACGGGTGACATCCATGCCGTACAGAGGCTTGACAGAGAGGAACAATCCCTTTACACCTTAAGAGCTCAGGTAGTCGACACCACCACTGGGAAGGCTGTGGAGCCAGAGTCTGAGTTTGTCATCAGAGTTTCGGATGTCAATGACAATGAGCCAAAATTCCTAGATGGACCTTATGAGGCCACTGTACCAGAGCTGTCTCCAGAAGGTACTGCAAATGCATTTTCATCAAAGATATATTAACATGGAAAACATTGAAGATTTTGAGCATGTGTTCTAGAAGTGGAATGTTTAAATTCAATACCAGTACACCCATCTGCAAACCTATTTAAGCAAATAAAAGCAAAATCATTGAAAAATTAGGCAATATATTTAAATTTTGTAATTCTGTTATGATAGTTTCCTTAGTTTAAATTATTTTTACTAGCCTCAATCATTTGTTCACTCATGCTTATTTCAGACATGTTTTGAGGGTTTGTTATCCAATTCTACCCTAAGCCTCAACTCCATTTATAACTTTAAGAAGAAAACACTTTCCAGTTGCATAGCTGGACCCCACCTGCAGGTGTATGAATCCCATGATTTCCCCTAATAGCATTCTTTTTTTTTGAAGAGGAAAAAATATAACCACACTACTCAAATATGTTCAAAGTAAAGTAATTCACCGGCTCACCCATGTTTTCCAGTTACCTATATTCTCAACCTAGAAACAACTACAAGGCAGCACCAGTCTCGTGTGTGCCTGTGCAGGTGTTTCGATTTGCAGAGGTATGAGGATGCATCAAAAGATCAAGAAGATGCAATTATAAAATTATGAATAATTTTCAAATTTTTTACTCTTGTTACCATACTTTAAAAATTGCTGTTATTCAATGTCATCACAGGTTTTAAAGCAAAATGAAACCATTGGACATATTTATGTAAGAGATTCATGAAACTACTTTTTAATGACCTAATTTCTTAAACATACTATTTTATCTTAAAAAAAGACAATTCTATACAATATGGGTGTGGAAATAGGGAGAGACAAAACCTATTTGTATCAGAAAAACATAACATGAAGACCAAAAGTAAATCAAAGTGGTTGAGCACCTCTGTGCAGTTATTTTCATTTTATGCCTCTTTTTCAAGACTCAGAGTTGGTGTTATTGTTTTAAACATAACACATATAGAAGAGTGATTTTCAGAATATATAAGAGTTAGTTCTAGAAGTCAGAAATGTCTTTGTGGTTTAGGGGAAGACATGTTTATGCAAAATTTATCCTCAAAAAACTGGTAGTGTAATATAAGGTAAAATTACATTTAAAAAATTTGCTTAACTGTGACAAATGTGATTCTTTAAAGGTCATTTAAAATTATGCTAACTTGCTTTGAAACTGCCTCCACTAAGTATTTGATTCATTAGTTAAAGATGATAACCATGTATATTCCACCATTCATTTTCCCAATTCTTCACTTCTTCCCTCAAAAAACTTTTTATTTAAGGAATACAAACTTCATAAATTTTATAGTTACAACTTTAGAAACACGGTGGTTCTTCCCACTGTACCCACTCTCCCACCCAAACTCCCACCCCTCTTCCTCCTCCCTCTCTTATTCCCATTTTTATGTGCATTGTTATCAGTGATCTATTTTCAATTAAGACCAATTTTCTTATTTTCAATAAGATCTATTTTCAATTAACTTCATACACATATGATTAACTATACTAAGTAAAGAGTTCAACAAATAGTATGAAGAAAAAAAAAAAAAAACAACCTTCCTCAGCAGTAGTGACAATGGCTGTACAAAGTTATCACACCTCGAAGTGCCCATTTCAGGTAATCTATTAGTTACCACAGATCAGGGAGAACATCTGGTATTTGTCTTTTTTGAACTGACATTTCACTAAGTGTAATGGTTTCCAGTTGCATCCATTTTGTTGCAAATGACAGGATTTTTTTTATCGCTGTGTAGTATTCTATGGTGTATGTATTCCATAACGTCTTTATCCAGTCTTCAGTTGATGGACATCTGAGTTGATTCTATATCTTTGCTATTGTGAATTCAGCTGCAAAAAAAAAAAAAAAAATTGGGGTACAGGTAACTTTCATATACTGATTTGATTTCCGTTGGGTAAATTCTCAGGAGTGGTATGGCTGGGCCATATGGAAGGTCTATATTCAGATTTCTGAGCAATCTCCATACTACCTTCCACAGTGATAGTGCCAGTACATTCCCACCAAAAGTGGATTAAGGTACCTTTTTCCTCACATCCTCACCAGCATTTGTTTTTTGTTGTTTTCTGTGTGAAAGCCATTCTAACTGGGGTAATTTAGAACTGATTGTGGTTTTGATTTGCATTTCCCTTTAGGCTAATGATCCTGATCACGTGTGTCTATTGGCCATTTGGATTTCCTCTTTCACAAAGATTTTGGATGATTTTTTACTATTGTAACTTGCTGGATTGGATTCTATGGCATGAATGGAATGACAAGAAGGGGTGATAGCAAATTTAGCCAACATAAAAGATGCTATGCTACCAGTAGAAAATAGAGAAATCACACACTAGCTAGAAGGAGATGAAGACCAAAGAGATTGTTACTCAATAACTGTTTAATTATTCACCAAGATGGGATATTTAATAGCAAAATTATTCACTGTAGGGAATAATCCAAAAATTGAATATTTTGAAGCAAAAATAAAATATATGTAACTGATGTGAAGCAATTTTTGAAAAACAGAAGTAATAATGGAATTCCGGATGTCAGAAAAAAGTACAGATTCAAATTCATCACTACATTGATTCATAATAAACCAGTTAATAAGTGTTTGTTTCTGTTTTAATGGTGAATATGATATAGAGAATAAGTGAAACAAATAATTGAATAACTGAGAAAAAAGGGATAGTAGTTTAGATGGAGTAGAGGATATACACAACAGGTGTTCTTTAAAGTGAGACAGCAAGTCAGTCCACAAGAGAATTAATATACATACAATGGAGCATTAGTGGTAGTAGACTGCAACCTCATTAAGAGTGACTTGATGATGATGTAAAAGCAGTTTGGGCCATGCAATATTTGCTTATCAAAAATCTCCTGTGCATTGCAATTTGATGTATGTGTGCAAATTATCTAGTTACTATATATAATTCATACAGAATGGGATTGCCATTTAGGCCTAGGCTACATCTGAATTCATGTGAAATTCAAAGAACACTTCATGTGTCTCTCCACGGGAGCAAGGGGGCCAACATAGTGGTGATAAGTTATTGTAATAAATGCCATTTAATATATAAATAGGGAAATATTACTATTACTCTTGCATCCATTTTACTAATGGTTTATCTCTGGAGAATTCTTGCAATCTTTGTTGACTTTGATTCAAAGTAAATAAATCAAAAAGTAAAGGTGATTTCTCTGTCTCAAGCAATCTCAATATTTAATTAATAAATATTATTAAATTGGAGAAGGTATTATGGCACAGCAGGTTATGCTGCTCTTGGAATGGCAGCAACCCATATCTGAGTGTTGGTTTGAATCCTGGCTACTCTGCTTCCAGTCCAGCTTTCTGTTATATGTGTGCCAAGACAACAGATGATGGCCCAGGTGCGTGGGCCCCTCCACCCACATTGCAAACGCAGATGGAGTTACTGGCTCTGGCTTCATCCAGTGTTAGCCTTGGCAGTTGTAGCTCTTTGGGAAGTGAACCAGCAGATGGAGAATCTCTCTGTACCTCCTTCTCTGTGTGTTGCTCTGCTTTTCAAATAAGTAAATAAATCCTTAAAAAGCTCCAATTTTAACTGATAAAATTATTAATTATTTTATCTAAATTTGTTCATAATTCTTTACCTTCTTTCCATAACCACTGGCATCCAATGAGCTCGTCTTTTTGAATTTTCTGTTAAAGTAACTAGTGCAAAGATTTCATTATTTCATCTTTTTTAAACATATTCATATATATATTGAAATAATATCAACATGAATTATTATATCTGAGTCCATACTTCAAATGTATATTGGGTTTGCATTATGGAAAGGAGTCCAAATTCTGATGGGTCATATGAAGGGGAAGCCAATAAAATCACAAACTATTTGTTGCTTATTCAACACACATTTATTTGCAAGTAGTAGTGGGCTTTCAATTGTTGAATTTATATCTGAAATACAGTTACTCTTAAATTAGAAATTTCCAGAAGAATTGAAATAATACATTAAATTTTGCTACTTGGCAGTCTACATTTACAAAGTTATTACCTGTTATCCACATGAAAATATAAGCTCTATTATGCCAGTAGCCATATAGTGCATTAGATTTGGAAAGGTTGAATAAGTGAGTGAGTGAATGGGTGAATACATAGACAAAGCAGGCAGAAATGATTAGACTAGCTGGGGAGGTGATTAGAAGGTATTGGTGGATATTAAGTTCAGGGAGACTGCATAGGTATGAGTTGAATTCATAGTGGCCTAAGATGATTCACATAATTGTCAGATAGTGATTAATAATTGTGAAATATCCAGTGCAAATACTGCATAGTCATCATATACTTATTTTAATTTATATTTGAAAAGAAAAGATACAGAGGAAGAAAGAGAGAGAGATTTTCCATCTGCTTACTGACAGCATTGACTTGGCCATGATGGAGCCATGAGCCCAGAAGTCAATCTTGGTCACTTACGTGGGTTATGAGGGCCTAAGTACTTGAACCTTTATCTGTTTGGTATGGGATATTCATTAGCAGAAAGCTGGGATTTGAAGTAGGGCTAAAACATGAATCCAGGTATTCTAATGTGGATTGGGATGTCCCAATTGAAGTATTAACCAACCACAGTGTTAAATGCCCATTCATCTATGTCGTTTTTTTTACAAAGAATAATTAATTAATTCATTCATTCATTTCTAAATGTGGAAAGAGAGGCAGAGAAGACAGAGGGAGACAGAGATCCTCCATCAAATGATTTATTCTCCAAATGTTTGCAAAGCCAGCACAATTCATCTGGGTCTCCCAGAGCGGTTTCAAGAACCCAAGTACTTAGACAATCATCTGCTGAATCCCAGGCACAGTAGCAGGAAGTGCAGCGAGGCCCGGACTATAAAGGACACTCTAATATGGGGTGCAGGCTTCCCGGATAACAGCTAAAGCAGTATGCCACAACCTGAGAGCCTGCATATTCAAGTTTAGGTCCCTTTAATTATGTGAAAATAAGAACCTATCAAGAAGGTACTCTTCCCTTCAATAATGGTTGTTAGTTTTTACCTAAAGCATTACAATGTCAAAAAGAAAGTTACATTAAAATGGATTCAGTATGGGGCCTGCGCTGTAGCGCACTAGGTTAACCCTCCACCTGAGGCACCGGCATCCCATATGGGCACTGGGTTCTAGTACCGGTTGCTCCTCTTCCAGTCCAGCTCTCTGCTGTGGCCAGGGAGGGCAGTGGAGGATGGCCCATGTACTTGGGCCCCTGTACCCTCATGGGAGACCAGGAGGAAGCGCCTGGCTCCTGGCTTTGGATCAGCACAGCGCTGGCCATAGCAGCCACTTGGGGAGTGAACCAACGGAAGGAAGACCTTTCTCTCTGTCTCTCTCTCTGTCTACAACTCTACCTGTCAAATAAATAAAAATAAATAAATAAAAAAATAGAGTCAGTATGCTATTTACTAACCAGTTAAACCTCCCATAGCAGATTATGCCATTCAGTAGTTGTACTTAGATACAATTTCACATGATCTCAAAAAGTAAATTTTGGTAATTTATGTTCTGAAAATCACAATAAAAATCCTATTAAAACTGAATCATGATTTAACAAATTGGGTCACACTGAGTGAAAAACAATAATACTTAAATTACATGATTTCAACGCATTGAATTCTTATTGGTATTAACATACTTTGTTGGTTTTACATGTATATGTAAAATAATATTTTTTTTTTAATTTTTTTGACAGGCAGAGTGGAAAGTGAGAGAGAGAGACAGAGAGAAAGGTCTTCCTTTACTGTTGGTTCACCCTCCAATGGCCGCCGCGGCCAGAGTGCTGCGGCTGGTGTACCGCGCTGATCCAATGGCAGGAGCCAGGTACTTATCCTGGTCTTCCATGCGGTGCAGGGCTCAACCACTTGGGCCATCCTCCACTGCACTCCCTGGCCACAGCAGAGAGCTGGCCTGGAAGAGGGGCAGCCGGGACAGAATCCGGCACCCCGACCAGGACTAGAACCCGGTGTGCCGGCGCCGCAAGGCAGAGGATTAGCCTAGTGAGCCGCGGCGCCAGCGTAAAATAATATTTAATACTTGATTTTAAAATTTATTTTATATATTTTTGCATATAGAAAACAAACACTATGTATTGTCAAGTGAATATATGCTTTTATCTCTATTTTTTGAAGATTTACCATGTAAATATTCTTTATTAAGTTTTTCACAGCGCAACAATTTCAGCAGTAGCAGGAAACACTTTCAGCAATAACAATAACAGGAATATATTTATATTGACCATGTTATTTATTATTGAAACAATATGCTTTTAAAAGTGAAAAGGGGTAATTTATGAGTGAGATTCTGTTTACATGAGAGCATTTCAGGTCTAATATACAAATGAAGTGGACTACACTGAACTATAAAATTATTACAAAATTTTTAACTTACACATTTTATTTTTTTGAAAGGGAGGATTGAAAATTTATTTTAGTATCTTTGTCATCAATGTAGCATAAATATGTCCTAAGACAGAGCCATTAGAAAAATAAAGTTGAAATTCAATTTAACACAAAACACATACAGATGTACATAATTTCAGTTATTTTAGATTGTATGAATCTTTTGCCTTCGGACAATGAATTGAAAATGATTGAGACTAGAACATACCTCTTATTCTTCAGAATGCTTTATTGTTTGTTTTCTTAAACGCAGTCTGCTTTGTTTTACTTAAATTCTATCTCAGATTATGAAGAATAAGGGTATCAAATGCAAGAAAAAGTGAATAAGGATGAGCTAGTTGTTAGTAGATTTTGGACAGAGAAGCTAAAATAATTGAAGAATACTTTGCTCAGTAAGGTAGTATGTGGGAAAAATATCATCTGCTTGCTTCCTGAATTTCACATTGAAATTCTAGGTTTTAAAGTAATTGCATCTTGATTACACATTCAGTAAGGCTTATAAAGAAGTGGTGATCCTCATACTAATAACTCTCATTGTGAGGTAGTGAACAAATGCACTGGAAAAACCATTATTTCCACCGTTATTTCAATCACTTGATCATCCAATTGACCTTACAAAAACCTGTTGTTAACAAATTCATAAAGTTGTAAAAAATAATGTGATTTAACCTGTGCTGCTTAAAGTTGATCATTATTCATCTCAATATGTACCCAATAAATTTGTTTCAGGTTAATCAAAGTATAACTGTACTAATAATGTCTATTAAAAGAGTTGTCCTATTAGATAATTTACATTTTATTTCTGTGAAAGGTCTGTTGAATTTTCTTACTTCTGGCTTAAAACAAAAGGAATATTATGCATGAAAGTAAATGTGTCATTTTGAATCTCAGCATTCAAACGTTATAATAAACTCTGACACATGTTTAGAGTTCCATAATTCATGAAAGTTCTAATTATGACATGCCCTTGCCCTAGGTTGATCACCTCTCATTTTCTACATAATATGTGAATAGTCTGCATATAAAAACTTATCATTCTCTTATGCATTTATATTTGAATTCCTCCTACCACATAGAAGATAAAGCATTCAGTATTATATGATAATATAATGTTCTGTTACTAATATTAAAGCTAACATTTGGTTGAAAATCATTCAGTCCTTATAAAATTCATGTATGATGATAAAATCCACAAAAATCAGAACTGGTAGAATTACACTATTCTCATTTTAAAAAGAGATTTGTTTATTTATTTACTTATTTGAAAGGCAGAATAACAGAGACAGAGAAAGAGAGAGAGAGAGAGAAAGATCTTGCCCCAACTGGTTCACCTTTCAAATAACCACAAAATCCAGGGCTGAGCCATGTCAAACCAGAAGCCAAGAACTACATCCAGGTCTCCCACATGGTCCAAAATGTCTGTCTCCCATTGCTATGACGTTTGAAAATGATTCCTGAAGCTAAATACAGGGGTGCACTTGTGGAAACCCATCAGGGATGAGAAATCCCTGTGCAAATTAAAGATAAAGAGATATGGTAAGAAATGTAGAAGAATTAAGTGGATATAAGAACAGAAATTTAATTAAAAGAACAATCTTGCCAATAAACACTGATTGAAGTGATAAGCCCTATGAGCAATTTGTTTGCATAAATCTTCATGACTGCTCTAGGAGTATATATTTAAAACACCTGAAAGTAAAAGTGTCCACACAAGGAGCAGTTGAGAAATTCAATAATTATCAGAAGTGGTAGTCCTAGTTTTCTTTTCATGCATTAATTGCTCTTGTTTTTTAATCAGAATAGGGGTTGTCTATTAAAATAAACAGAAATTCTTATTAAGTAAAATATGGTGACTGATATTAAAAATGTTAAACAACAAAATAGCACAAAATCATACTATATAGGGTTATAGTAAAAGTTTCAACAATTAGTGAAATATGCAAGCAATTCCTATCAAGAATGTGTCAGTTTATGAAATTGGATTTTATGAGAGATTTTATTAATTGTAAAGAAGACTACATAAACTATTTAATTTTCTCTCAATCATGTTGTCATTCACAATGACACAGTGTATGTTTTTTCAACAAAAATACATTTCTTTTTTTAAGAGATTTATTTATTTTATTTGAAAGTCAGAATTACACACAGAGAGAGAGAGGTCTTCCATTCTCTGGTTCTCTCCCCAATTTGCCACAACGAGGAGCTGTGCCAATCCGAAGCCAGGAGCCAGAGATTCCTCCAGGTCTTCCATGTGGATGCAGGGACCCAAGGCCTTGGGCCACCCTCTGTTGCTTTCCCAGGCCATAGTAGAGAGCTGGATAGGAAGTGAAGCAGCCACAAATCGAACTGGTGCAAATATCGGATGCTGGCACTGTAAGTGGTGGCTTTACCCGCTGTTCCATAGCACTGGCCCAAAAATACCTTTCTATCACCATCCATCAAAAGCAATTTCATGTATACAGGAACATAATTAAAAGATCAATATTTTAAATAAATTTTAGAAATTAAGGCACTTACTTTAAATGTAAAAATAATTATTTTACATGTTTAATGCTTATTACTGAATTATGAGAATACTTATTTTATCAATATTTAATAGGTTTATTTCTTAAGGATTTATTTACTTACTTGAAAGACAAAGCAAGAAATAGAAAGTGAGAGAGAAACAGAGAGATCCTCCTTCTGGTGATTCACTCTCCAAATGGCCACGACATTCAGTGACCTTCAATGCTTCGCTGTGCAGAAAGCAGCTGCCAGAAACTCAGTGTAGGTCTCCTACTTGGGTAGACAAGGCCCCTCACTCGGGTCATCTTCCGCTGCTTTCCAGGTGAATCAGCTGGAAGCCGGATGGGAAATAGAACAGCCAGGACTCAAAAAATGCTCTACTGTGGACTGCCAGCTTTACAAGTGTTGGCTTAATCCCTTGTGCTACAACTCTGGCCCCCAGATACTATTTTAATTATTAAAGACAAATTGGTAGATTATGTAAATTAATCAAACAGACCAAATAATTATGCTCATCCTAACTATTTTTATAAATTCATTTAAATAACCTTTATAAATTCTCATTCGTATGCTGCAATTTGTTATACGTAGAGGCCAAGCTATGATCTTGGATGAAAAGTTTCCACTTTCCTTCTGATTGTTCCACTAGTCTTGGAAAGGTTGTGGATTGCACATTTTAATGAACTATTTAATAGTTACATTTCCTGATGTCATGTATCTACCTACATGTTTAAGACTCCATATTGTCATGGGAATTGGAGCTATTTTCTTTAAGGTTCTACTTTCTAGTCTATATAAAAACACCATTTTGATAATTCAGAACAATAGATAAATTAGGCTTGGATTTGATACCATCATATTTCTTGCTAAAAATGCTTTCCAGGACATAATTCACTGTTAATAGATCATCGTGTTAATTTCCTGTTACTATTTCTTTTTTCAGGAACTTTTGTCATCCAGGTTACAGCAAGTGATGCTGATGACCCTTCAACTGGCAACAATGCTCGACTCCTATACAGCTTACTACAAGGCCAACCATACTTTTCCATTGAACCAACAACAGGTATTTATGAATAAATACAAAATGCAATGAAAACTGATTCTGTTTTATGATTATTCATTTGAAAATAGGAGTTTCAGGGAAGGGGGGAGAGAGAGAGAGAGAGAGAGAGAGAAGATTTTCTATCCACTGGTTCACTCCCCAGATGACCACAGTGGCCAGGGCTGGACCAGGCTAATATCAAGAGCCAGCAGCTTCCTCCAGGTCTTCCACATGGGTGGAAGGGGCCCAAGCATTTTGGCCATCTTCCATTGCCTTTCCCAGGTTGCTAGCAGGGAGGTGGATCAGAAGTGAATCTGCCAGGATTCAGACTGACAATCATGTGGGATGACAGCATTGCAAGCAGTGGCTTTACCAACTACACCACAATTCTGAACACAATTCAGGATGACTCAAAACTGAGCAAGTGTCAGAAAAAATTATCAACTTAGAAACAAGTTTTAGAGCCTCTCTAAGGTATCAATAAATAAGTGAGTTGTAATGCCTAAGCATTAAATTGCTTCTCATCTTTAGGCTTTTTCTAAGGTTAAGAGATTGGATTTTCAATATCTATATCACAAATGAGTTGTGTATGGGATATAAAATATATGTAAGGTTTCTCATAAAATAATGAAGAAAAAGACAACCCAATTGAAAATATGAGGAAAAGACACAGTTGGAAAAACATGATTCATAAAAATTTATATGCGTATTAAAAATACCCTCAGCCATTATCAGAGAAATACAAATTAAAACCACAGCATGAAACATTTGAATTTCCAAACAGCATGCCTGAAATTAATTCTGAATATAAGGTTTGGTTTATCAGTTTGCATGAGACAGTCATTTTTTAAAATATTTTTGTCCTGTATTGATGTGACTCAGTCCTGGCTTGGCTTCCAATTCCATCTTCCTTGACTGTGAACCCTGGGAGGCACTACTGATAGCTCAAATAATTGTATCCCACTACTTACATGGGTACCTGGATTGAGTTTCCAGTTCCCAGATCAGTTTAGCTCAGCCCTGTGTATTTTGGACATTTGGGAAGTGAACCATCAGGTGGGTTGTTTCTCCTTCTCTCTCTTTCTGTCGCTATGTTTCTTTTCTTTTCTTTTCTTTTTTTTTAATTAATTAATTTATTTTTTTGACAGGCAGAGTGGACAGTGAGAGAGAGAGACAGAGAGAAAGGTCTTCCTTTGACGTTGGTTCACCCTCCAATGGCCGCTGCGGCCGGGGCGTGCGGCCGCGAACCGGGCTGATCCGAGGGAGGGGCCAGGAGCCAGGGGGCTTTTTCCTTGGCTTCCCAGGGGGGGGAGGGCCCAAGCACCTGGGGCCATCCCTCCCACTGCACTCCCTGGCACAGCAGAGGGCTGGCCTGGAAGAGGGCAACCAGGACAGAATCCGGCGCCCCGACCGGGACTAGAACCCGGTGTGCCGGCGACGCTAGGCGGAGGATTAGCCTAGTGAGCCGCGGCGCCGGCGCTATGTTTCTTAAAGATAGGTTTATTTTGTTATAAAATAAAAATAGGAATTTCATAATTCACATATTTCATTAAAGTTTTAATGATTCTGTTTTTTAATTCAATGCATGAAATATTTAATTATTTTTCTGTCACTGCCTCTCCAATTTACATTAAATAGCTGAATCTTATAAAATAAATTAAATACCGATATTTCTGTTATCTTTCAAAAATTATCTATTGAGCATTTTGTTAGTTACTAATTCCATTTAAAATTATTGTCATGTTCAAAACAAAGAGTAACTCCAAATGAATCTTTGCCTAAGAGCTAATAGTCTCCAAAAATGAAGATAGATAGATAAATAGATACACACATACACACATATATATAATCACCTGATTTTGTGAAAATGTGAGAAGTATTAAAAAATGAAGACATATGTTTTTCATTTAGTAGAAATATTATTTCTAGTTTGATAACATGGAGAGATTTAAAGAATTACAGCATGTTGTATATTTTAATTTTTAGTAATTAAGAATTCATCATTTAACAATATTAAATGTCTCAGACTTGCTCAATCAAGGTTTTTTAATAGAATCCAATTCTCAAGAATGTGATTTGAGTAAATATGTTCTTAATTATCCCAAGGTTGGTGCATAGATTTTATTAATCAGGATACACTAGAGAGAAATTATTTTACTACAAGCAATGGATGCTTTAAGATATCAGGGTTTAATGCCCTCACACACTCTTGGTTGAGAAAGGCTGAATATGTAACCAGACATTTTACAACATTATGGGTTTATGGAGGTACAACCTTGCCACAATTAAAAGAATAAAAATGACAATAATAAAACAAATCATAAACATAAACTTCTCTTGTGGAACTTAGATATTAAGCATGTGGATATTAATAAATACACACATTAAGCTTGTGAACAAGTCTGAAGTGAACCAAAAAAAATTCCTCCAAGAGAAAGTGAGGACAACTTTACATTGTGTGTTCAGGGAAGAGCATGCTAAAACAGATGCTGAGCTGTGCATGACAATGGAGAAGAGGGAGTGGAGGATTTTACAGGTTATGGGAAAACTACATGGCAGATTCTTTAGGTAGCAAAGGTAGAAGTACTTAGACTAAATGGACACCAGTTAGTATACTATTGTATTAAGTGTCTGCCAGTGTTCCCAGCTACTGGGGACCCATCTAGACTACAAACAGAGCTGGTGTTCACTTCCTTGTAATTTTTGTTTCCAAGACACTGTCTGGTATATTGTGGTGGTTCAACATATATCAAAGGCATGATTTCATGGTTGGGATGCTTTAGAAATTGCTGAGAAGATGTCATGATTCTTAATGAAATAATAATTGGAATTTTGTTACATTTTTGAAGGAGTCATAAGGATATCTTCCAAAATGGATAGAGAACTGCAGGATGAGTATTGGGTAATTATTCAAGCCAAAGATATGATTGGTCAGTCTGGAGCACTGTCTGGAACTACAAGTGTATTAATTAAACTTTGGGATGTTAACGACAACAAGCCTATATTTAAAGAAAGTAAGTAGGAAGCATCCTGAATTTTCTCTACGGTGTAACTCTGAGTGTGTGTATTATAGGCAAATTCTAAAGATTGCATTATGAAAACACTCCAGTTGCACTAGAATTGTGTAAAAATGCATTTGTTAATTTTTAAGGTGTTATTTTCACTAATGTGCCAAAGCAAATACGAATGAAAGACTGTTGCATTAGCATTCAATTACTTTAACATACTTTGCTGCAGACTTCTGACTTACAGCAAATTTGTCATCTAAAGGAGTCTGGTATGGGTGCCACCAGGCTGCGGTCCAGGTGTCTACAGACTGTTGCTTTCCTATGGCTATGGGAAAGAATACATGTTTTCACTCACTTGAGTGCCAACATTCTCAGTTCTTTGCGTTTGCTACCTGAGGTAATGGCTTCTTTGAAGGCTGTCAGATGGGGACACCTTCAACTTCTGTAGTCTTTCCTGGTTCTTGATTTACCCATAAATCTCAGAAGCAACAAGGGATGGCAAATGCTTTAAAACTCACATGTCTCAGACCAGCGATGTTTCCTCTTCTTCCATTTTCAGTAATTCTTGTGTCTATACTTGGGCACATTGCAAAATCTAGACAATTTCCCTATCTCAGGGTTAGCCACAGCGCCGGCCCATCCATATGTTAAATGTGGACATTTTCTGGAATAAAGCCTTTTGTATTGCGTCTCCTTTCAAGACTTATTCCTTGATTTTCTTACACAGTCTTCTGACATTAAATACTACATTTGTGTGACTTTAAATACTACTTCTATGTTGACAACTTCCAAGTAGGTATCTCTAGTGAAAAGTTCTTCCTTGAACTTCATACACATGTATTTAACTTCCTGCCTCACTCATGGGAAACTAAGATGGAGTTCCTGGTTCCTGTCTTTTGCCTTGGCTGTCATGGGCGTATAAGGAATGAACCACCAGACAGAAGATTTCTCTCTCTCTCCCTCTCCCTCTCTCCCAATTAATCTGTCCTTCAAATGAATAGAAATACTTTTTAAAGTCTTCATTTTTATGTACACACATTTATTCATTTGTTTATTTTCATTTATTTGGAAAGTGAAGAAACTAAGACAGCTACAGACAGAGATCTTTCATCTGGTGGTTCACTCTCCAGATGCTGAGGCTGGGCCACAAGAACCAGGAACTAAATATGGGTCTCCCATAAGGATGGCTGGAACCCAACCTCTTGAGGCCTCATCTGCTGCCTCCCAAGGGTATGCATTAGCAAGAAGCTGGAATTTAAAGTGGGGCCACATTGAAACCGACACTCTGATATAGGTTGTGGCCATCCCGAGAGGAGTCTTAGCCACTGTGCCAACTCTCAACACTCTTTAAAGGATTTTAAGTCATTCTTTCCTCCTTTCTTATTCTCTGACTCACTATCTAGTCATCTGAACTTCCCATTAACCCCGCCTTGAAAAAAAATTATGAATGTTTCTTATCACCCCTGTTCTGACCTTGGTTCATGCCACTACCTTATTTTATTTCTACTATTGCAATCGGCTCTTATATATGGTCTCTGGGCTTACACCATTGATCTGGTTCACTTTATTTTCATCACAGCTTTTGTAAACTTGTTAAAATGCAAGTCAGATCATATCCTTTCAAGGATTTCCGTCTCAGTTATGCAAAAAGTAAAAACAAAAGTGATCCTGATAGTACTAAATGATCTGCCATTACTCAATGCCTTCTCATTATATCCTGGTTATATATCCAACCTTTAGACCTGGGGCTTGTGGAGAATTTTATCAAAATAACAATTTTAAATGCATGGAAAATTGCACAGATTATTATATATTTATAAATTATTATTTATTTTGTTTATAAGTTTGAAGGCCAGTAGTCAAATATAAATTCAACAACATTTTAGTCTGTATCATCTGTTTTCAAACTTAAGGTAGTATCATTGTTTTCTTCAGATTAATTTGTTTGCAACTTTTTTATATATGCAATCAATAATTAATAATTTTTGTTTTCCCACAGTGAAAAAAACATTAATGTGCATTTAAATTGCCAATGCCACTCTAAAAAATGGAAACTGTAAAATATTATCAGATTTTAAGTAATATTTCTCCCACATAAAAATAGAATTTAATTAAAAATGCATCTGCAAGTGACTTGTTGGGTGCTTCTAAAGAAACTAAAAATACCCTTAAAGAAGAATTCTAGGCATGGATGTTTGCAATAGCAGTTAGTATGCTTTCTGGAGTATCTATATCCCTTCTTAGAGTGTCTGGATTTGAGTCTTGGATTCCCTTATGATTCCAGCTTCTTGCTAATACCCACAGTGGGTGGTAGCAGGTGCTGTCTCAAGTACTGGGAGACACAGATTGACTCTCAACATTAATCTGGCCAAACATCAATTTTTTTGATCACTTGGGGAGTAAATCATTAAATACAAGATCTCTTCCTCTCTGTCTCTCTCTGCTTACTCAAATACAAAAAAAAAAAAAAAACAACAAAAATTTAAAGAATAATTGCATTATACGTGTTCCTTTTTCATGGTAAGTAATTTCACACTTTAAAATAATGACATACATGATTATTTCCTACATTTGATCATAAATTATGATACTAATTTATGACTAAAGCAACCCTTTATCAGTTTTTTACAAGATACTCCTGAACTCTGGAGAAAAATCTTAGTAATTTCTAAGTATTTTTATGTATTTCAATATTTTCTTGTGGCCACATCAACAGAGGCTTTTTCTACTACATCGACTTACCAACTATTCATTTTCTTTTTTTTTTTTCATTTTCATTATGGCTAATGCCATGCACTCAGAAAATCAAAATATTATGGTCTTCATTCAATTATTTGTGTTTAATGTCTCCCACTTAAAATCTACACATACACTCATTTATAATGATGTTAATAAATTTTTTTAAAAAGTGGTAAAAAATAGAGGAGGCATTGTGGAATAGCAGGTGAATATGCAGCCTGCAATGCTGAGATCACAAATGGTCACTGGTTTGTGTTTTGGATGCTCCACTTCCCATCCAGTTCCCTAGTAGTGGCCTGGGAAAAGCAATGGCAAATGGCGCTAGTGCTTGGATCCCTGCTACTCATGAAAGAGACTTGCATGAAACTCCTGGCTCCTGGCTTCAGCCTGGCTCAAACCTGGCTGGTGCAACCACTTGGAGAGTAACCAGAATATGGAAGATTTTCTCTCTCTTTCTCCTTGTGTTTGTGTGTATGTTTGGGTGTGTGTCTGACTGTCTGTCTTTCTCCTCTCCCTGTAACTCTGACATTCCAATAAATAAATAAATCTTAAAGAAAAGAATAAAAGTCCATTATTCAAATTTAATAGTGAATGCAGGAAAGACAAAATAAGACAAATGAATATGAGATGCACATATGAAATAAACTTTGAGTTATGTTTACTGTTCCTGGGACTGCCTATGAGATTTCAGAGGCAATGATAAATTCTCAAATAGAAAATTGAGGAAACGCCCAGATTTTAAAATAAAAAGGAAATAGAGACTGAGATCTAAAAAGAGTCATTGGAAAGGATAGATCTGGATGTTCGTGTACTATAAATAAAGGATGTTCAAATTGGAAATTTCTTACATTAAGTATTTATCCAAAATAATTTAAATTTTGCTTTTGTAGGTTTTTACCGCATGAGTGTCTCTGAATCTGCACCCACTGGGACTTCTATAGGAAAAATCATGGCACATGACAATGACATAGGCGAGAATGCAGAAATGGATTACAGCATTGAAGAGGATGATTCACAGACATTTGACATAGTTACTGATAATGAGACCCAAGAAGGCATAGTTGTATTGAAAAAGGTAGCTATATTAAAACTATTTGTCTTATGGAGTAAAGCAAAATATGAATGATTACTTTGTGTAGCTGGTTAGTTGTTGCTTCATTAAGTTATCAAGATGAGAATTTGTGATTTATGATTTAGGGATAAAAGGAGTTTAGATTTAAGAGAGTCAATTATCTTACTCATTCCTATAGATCCTGAGTTATATGTAGAATAAGGTTTCAGAAAATTTTGAAAAGATGTGAAAAACCAGGAAATTAGTCTTCAATTATATAAAATATTTATGACCACAAAAGACTAATTTTAATCTTAAATGCAATATAATGATTATTCTATAACATTTTGTGATAGACATAAGTACAAAATGCAAATGTAGACCTGCTTAACTATAATATTAGATTGACTCATAAACTCTAATTGAAAAGTGACAGTTAAACAAGGGAAACTTTTTTCTTCTGACTAAATCATGAATCACTGAAAGCATTTATTCTGTGTGCACTGTTTCTTCGTAGAAAGTGGATTTTGAGCACCAGAACCACTATGGTATAAGAGCGAAAGTCAGAAATCGCCATGTGAAAGAGCACCTCATGCAGTATCATACTGAAGCTTCCACAACTTTCATTAAGGTCCAGGTGGAAGATGAAGATGAGCCTCCTGTTTTTCTGCTCCCTTATTACATCTTTGAAATATCGGAGGAAAATCCACAGAGATCATTTGTAGGCATGGTATCTGCAACAGACCCAGATCACCAGAAATCTCCGATCAGGTATGTCTTTAATGTTACGTCTGCATTAAAATAAGAAATGGGAAAAGCTTGAGGACAAAGTATCATGCAAAAGTAACAATGATAAAACTGTTCCTATATTTTCTATATAGTACAAATGAGTTTATAACAATTTAAAGGAATAAATTAAAATCAGGAAACTAAATGTTGGTTAGACTCAATGTTTGTCAAGATGCCATAATAGATATAAGGAGGTATTCAAAAACAAATGTTAAGTACAGGGGCATGCTGGCAAGTCCCAGGAACCATGCAGGAACTACTCCAACTGTACAGAGCTGTGAATATTCAGATAACAAAAGAATAGCAATAGTTTATACAATCAACTTAGGTTTATTACACATTGAAAAAATTCTGGAATTTATAGTGTCACAGACAATAAAGGAACACGTTTTTTTAGAGGTTGTGCTTAATATATGTATAAAGATGCAACAAATAGGAATATGTATTATCAATAGTACCCCAAAATGGTAATCATTATAGGCAATATTGATCAATGAATGACAAAAGGAGTGGATGAATATTTGAAGTAAAACCTCTTCATTTTAAAAAAATTCTTCCTTAGATTTTTGTCAGTCACAAGTAGAAAAATAACTAGAGAAGAGATGTTAGGCAGATATGACCTTAACCAAGAGATCAATGTTAATTTCGTCATTAATGTGACAGAATCAGTGTCATGTAGCCCTTATATAATACTAAAAGAACAGCACAGTGTTTCTGTATTATTCTTGCAAAAAATGGATAAGATTTATCTCATCAGGAGATCACATCAAACACCCCCAAAGTAAGAGACATACAAAATTACCAACTGATACTCTTCAATAGTGTTAAGTAAATGACAAAGACAATGCATTACTGTGTAGGAGACTATAGGGACATGAAATGCAATACAATATGAGATCCTAAATTGTACTCCTAAAAAAGAAAGGAACATTTGTGGAAACAGTAAAGTCAATTATACTTGGTAGTTGAGTTAATAGTATCAAAGACATGAATTTCTTGATTTTTAATTAAATTTATTTATAATTTATTAACTTGAAAGACAGAGAGACAGAGACAGAAACAGAAGCTTCATCCAGTTATTCGTTCCTCAAGTGCTAATAATAGAACAGGATAGGGTAGGCCAAACTCCATCTGGGTTTCCTACTCAACTGCTTGAGCTGTCATCCACTGTCTCTCAGGATGTACATTAGCAGTCTGATATGGGATGAAAGCATCCCAAACAGAATCATAACCACTATGTCAAACACACACCCATGTTTTCATTTTTAGTGGGACTCAGATCTACTAATTGTGGCCTTGACTTTTGTTGCTAGTTGTAGCAGATGCATGTTAACCTATTAGAAACTGTAACTTCCTATTAAGCTTTTGATGAGTTTTACTTGGAATACATTTTATAGAAACAGGATTAAACATCTAATTTAAAATAGTATGTTAAAATGCTGCTGTATTTTTGCCAAAAAATATTGAAGTAAAATACTTCTTAATGTTTAAAGTTGAACTTACATAAATTTGGGCTCCTCTAAAGCCTAATTTTCTTTCATTTCTATTTTAACCTTCTCATGAACACCAAGCTACAAACTAGTATGATATTTTTAGAAACCTGTCAATTGAATATTAAAATAATCTCATCTCATGCCACATAATTATGGCAAACCTCATTGTCATAAAGGTCTTAAGGAATATGTGTGCAATGAAACAACATTACTGAACCCTAGTTATTACTATTCTCTCATTTTTATTATTAATTAGCTGTAAGCAGTCATAACACATGGAAGGCATCCAAGGACTTTTGTATTGTGGAGTTTGAAATCCTTCTTCAGCTTTTTGCATGCGGGGCTTTTGTAACAGCCTCCTTGACTGCATGCTCTAACAGCACATTAGATCTATAGTCCTTTGATTCTGTAACTCAGATATGTTTGTTGTGGCCTTGGTTCTTCTTCCTAATGTCTAAATTCCAAAAGTAAAGCCTAGTGGATCTGAAAATTTCTGGAATCTGAAATATATGTATGTGTAATTTATGTATTATACTTCCACTATATCGGTCTTTTATACATAAAATTTCATAATTTGGAAATATGTCAGGTATGTGGAAATAATTAAATGTGCATGTACTTTATAAAGATTTTATTTTTAAATTAATTTACATATTTATCTTATAGGTAGATATACATAGAGGAAGATTTAAAATCTTCTGGTTCACACTCCAAATGCTCACAAGAGACTGAGCTGTCAAGCCAGGGCCAGAAGTTGACTCAAATACTAGCAAATGAACAAAAGCAAACATTTCTATGTATCACCAGTCAAGTCACTGTAGTATAATGCACAGATTACAACACAGGTGGTGTCAGAAAGAGATCAGAGGTGGGTGTGGGGGCAGCAGCAACTCACCATGGGGGATATGTTCATTCCTGATGGGGGTTACTGGGTTTGAGCCCCAGCTCTGTTTTCTATCCAGCTTCCTGGTAAGGCACACTCCAGGAGGCAGTAGTGATGGCTCAAGTAGTTGGGTCCTTGTCACTCACATTGGAACCATGGATTAGTAGGAACGAAATAGCGTCCTGAATCTGATTTGGTCCAACCACAGTGGTTGTGGTCATTTTGTATTTGTGATTTGGATTATGAGTCAGGATGGAAGCTCATTCGCTTGCTCTTTCTCGCTCTCTCATTTCCAAATGGAACAAAAATAAACATAAATCTTAAGAAAAATAAACCAGTACTAGTCTAGGCTTAGGATATATTTTACTTTGCTCCAAATGAAAAAATAAGATTATTCACAATCATTACTTTTACCCCTATGTATGTGTACTTGTATTTGTTAAAAAGAACACTCTTTGCCATTATGTTTTAACCAAATTCCACATCTTTTAAAATTTTCACTTGGACTTGAAGATGAATGGATTGTGTTTATATTTAATTAACATAAATTTAAATCTGAAGACATCATAGTTTTTGTTTTGGGATCTCCACTGAGTTGAATCTTAAATATATGAATGTACTATTAGGAACATTATTCAGTATCACACTATTATGTAGAGCATGCATTAAATAATTTGTGTTTTTTTTAAAGGGAGTAATATGTGTCAATTTATACAAGAAAACAATAACATTAAAGAAAATTTTTCCTTTTGGTGCAGGTATTCCATTATCAGAAGCAAAGTGTTCAGTATTGATGACAATGGCACAATCACTACAACTAACACACTCGACCGGGAGAGCAATGCTTGGTACAACCTAAGTGTTGCAGCCACAGAGATATGTAAGTATTTATTTGGGTACCACTTGCTTATTCACCCTATTCTGTAAAGCATCACACCCGTTCTAAATGTGCAATGAATTTTCTTGAAAATATCGTTGGGGGGCAGGGGTTGGGGTACAGGTGCTCACCGGGACTTCTGCAACCCATGTGTTGATTGAGATCAAACCCCATTCCAGCTTCGGCTCTAGCTCCCTGTCAGTGTCTACCCTGGTGGGCAGCAGATGATGGCTCCTTTGCCTGGGTCCCTGGCATCCACAGCTTAGACCCAGATTTTAATCCTCACTCATGACTTGGATCTGTTCTGTGTCTGACTGTTGTGGGAATTTGGGTAGCAGATTGGCAGACAGCAGGTCTCTGTGTCTTTCTGTCTTTCAAATAAATATACATAAATAGAGTTTAAATCATATTGTTTGAATTAATGTAAAATGATTTTGAGTGCATATTTATGTACATAACTGTTTTATTTTAAATTAATATTTTTCATTCCCATTACTCTTTATTTCTAACTAACTAAAATATACATTGAAAACTGTTTTCTTATTTTAACAATAAATAATGTTAAAGAAATAAATGAAGTGAGGAAAACATAATGCAGAAAACAAAAAACACTTGAAATTTTAAAACTTATTATTGTGTACATTTATGGCCTTATGATCTTGTTTATGTATATATTTTATATAAATTTATAAAAATAAAATACAAAATTTGCGGATTTTTGCTAATATATACAACGCACTTCAAAATGTTTGTGGAAATGAAACTGAAAGATAATATGTATTTTCTATGATCTTTTTGAAGATCCTTCAAATTCTATACATGTTTGTTTAAAAAGATGAGTTTCATGAAAAAAACATGAACATGTCTTGTGTATTTTCCAAAATATGTATTCTTTATGAAAAGGCAGCTACAAGAAGTTGCAATATTTATTTGACATAAATTATTACCTTTAAGGAAATTTCAATGTAGTCACCATTGCTTTGTTCTGCATAGCCTTTCTATTATGCGAATACTAGTAAAACTATAACTGGAAATTGAAATTTTTAAAAATAACTGAAATATGCTGCCCTTAATAGTATCAGGTTAGATTAAGTCCATTAGTTCATGAATGGTTATTTTAGAGAGCAAATACAGAATACCTGTGCCTCACTCTATTTTAGAATAAAATAATGAGGTATTTTTATTCTTCAGGGATGAGGTGATACTAAATTAGCCTTTAAAATACAAACATTAAAATCTGTCTGATTTAAATGAAATTATGTTATAGAATCTGAAAGATTTCTTTGCAGGCTAGCTTTACATTTTTGGATTAATATCTGTATCAATTCTGATAGTCATATTAAAAAATAAGTCATGACAAGTTGCTTCTTTTTTCTTTTCTTTTCCAAAGATAGGCAAAATTTTTATATTCTTGTTGTAAATATAAATAAAATCATAATAATTCACTACCTGAATATAATCCTTAAAATTATGACCTCTGCCCTTAGTGTGCTGTACTATGAGAATTAATGGTGAAACTACTACTCAAACAGTGCTCTATACTTTGTGTCTGTGTGGGTGCAGTCTGTTGAAATCTTTACTTAGTATATACTAAGTTGATCTTCTGTATATAAAAATAATTGAAAATGAATCATGATGAAGAATGGGGTGGGAGAGGGAGTGGGAGATAGGATGGTTGCAGGTGGGAGGGAGGTTATGGGGGAAAGCTGCTATAATTCAAAAGTTGTACTTTGGAAATTTATACTTATTAAATAAAAGTTGAAAAAAGAAAACTTATGAACCAATGATAGTCAACTATTCATATTAATTAAAAGTTAAAGGGACAGCTACTACAACCTATATTATAAAAAACATCCCTATTATTACTCAATGGATTAGTAATTCCACTATAGAATTAAAATTATGCATTTTAAATAGTCTAGAATATAGTTTTCTTATAACTGATTGGCACAGAATTTCAATAACCTTGTCTACTTTCTTGGCCTCTTATTTATAAGTGTTAAGCATGTACCTTATTCCTCACTTACGGAACAATTGGCAGGTGATTTGGTCGGTTGGAAAGCATGTGTTGCATGTTTTTTTTTTTTTTTTTGCAATACATTGAATAGCTCTATGGAAACACTGCAGGAGGACTTGGGTCTGTATTTTGAATTTTTAGTTTAACTAAACAATAAAGGAAGGGGAGCAAAAGTTAAAAGGAACAAAGGTTTTCTGCCACAGAAAAAACGCCAAGGCTTTTCATGTCATAGAACACAATGTTGTTTATTTAGAGAACAAGTCTCTTCACTGAATATTTCTGGGAACAAACTATTTATAAAGTCGTTCTTTACAAAGCTCTTGAGAAAAAGGAATTCAAATGAGTTCAAGGAAAGACTAGAAATCTTTGAAAAATATATTTGTTTATAAAATAGCTCTCAACTACTAAAAGATCCTGATTTATTGAACTTATAGAAATAATTATCCACAAGAGTTTATTTTATAGGTAAGAAAAATTTTTGTTGTAACGCAGATCTTTTATCTTCTTTTAATTAAATGCTATATATTATGAATTAATAGAAGGTAGTATCTTAATAATGTGCATTTATAGATGAGAGGTTGTATAATTTATGAATAAAAAGAAGAAATATATGAATGATTGTTATCAAAAATTTGCCAAAAACTTTAATAATACTCTATCTCACTAATGAATTTTTCAATGTGAAGGATGCCATGCTATTAGAGAAGACCTAAGAAGGACTGTGTTTGAAGTAATATTTTAATATATTATCGATTGATTTTTGAATTTATTTGTGAGCTGTAGAAACTGAGAGGAAATACTCCCATCCACTAGTTCATTTCCCAAAAGCTTGAGTGCTGCCGGGACTTATGAAACCATTAGCTCTGGCTCTTGGTTGGATTGCTGTGTATAAGATCTTAGCCAGGTCTTGATTTTTGACTTGGATTAATGCTGGGGCTTGTAGCACCCAGATCCCAAGCCCCAGCACTAGATATGTTAAGGGGAACCTCCTCCAGTTCCACAGGATGAATACAGATTTTGCTGAGGATTTCAAACTGTCAGGTAGTATGTCTGGAAAAGAGGAATGCAAGTCATTATTTCCAGGCTTTCCTGGAAGCACAAAGGGACAGGATCCTCTGTGTCCATAGCAACAGACAAGTGGCTACAGCCATTAAAGCCCCAACTCTTTAGAGAATAAGGATGCACACATTTGGAAGCTCATGTTCAGTTCAGTCATACTACTTCCTCCACAAACTGCTGCAGACTAGAGAACTGTGGCTTTTGCAGACAGTGCTAACCCTGATTACCACTGAAGAACACACTCAAGATATTACATTTCCGGGATCCCCTACAAAGAAGTTCAAATCAACAACCCAAGTGGCAACCCACATTCCGCTTAAAAAAAAATCTTTTTCAAACAAAACCTACTTCATTAAAAAAAAAAAAAAAGTGACTATTACAGTCAGTGTGCAGATGTCCACACAGGGATAAAGTGGATGAAGAAGCAAGGAAGCGTGGCACCTCCAAAAATACATAATAGTTTTCAGAAACTAGGACTTCATTTGAAACAATCTATGAAATCCTGGAAAAAGAATTCACAACAATGATGCTAAGGAAACTCAATTATATACAAGGGAATAGATATAGACAATTTAAAGAAGTAACGAAAGCTGTAGATGATGTGAATGAAAAATTCAATAACTAGATAGAAATCATTTAAAAGAGCTTGTTTTTGAAGCAAAATTTTTAATCAATGAAATTAAAAAAAAATACAATTGAGATCCTCAAGAGCAGAAAAGACTGAACAGGGGAAGAATTTTTGATCTGGAGGATAAGACTTTGAAATAACCCAAATACAAATTAGGAGAAAATATTTTGAAATTAATGAAGAAATCTACATGACATATAGGATATCATTAAGACAACAAATATTTATATTGTAGGAATACTTGAAACAGAGAAGGAAAAAAGGTACTGAAAGCCGACTGAATGAAATAATAGTTAAAAACTCCCCCTGTCTTCAAAGACCTGTGGATCCAGATACAGGAAGCTCTCAGGATATTTTTTTAATTTTTTTTTTTTTTTATTTGAAGGAATTGCAGAGAAGGTAGAGACATATGGAGAAAGGCATCTTCTATCGGCTGGTTCACTCACCAGATGGGCGTGATGGCCAGAGCCAGCAGTCAGGAGCTTCCTCCGGATCTCCCATGTGGGTGCTGTGGCCTAAGGGCTTGGGCCATTCTCTGCTGTCTCCCCAGGTGCATTAGCAGGGAGCTGGATTGGAAGTGAAGCAGCCAGACTTGAGCCTGCACCCACAGGGGATTCCAGGGCTGCAGGCTGGGTTAAAACCTGCTGCACCACAGTGCTGGCCCCATAATCTCAGGATCATAATCAGGCTCAATCAAAATAGCTCCCCCCGCAAGACATATAGTAGTTAAGTTGTCAAAAATTAAGAACAGAGACAGAATCTGAAAGACAGTAAGAGAAAATATCAAATTGCATAGGAAGGAAAACCAATTAGTCTAATTGTGACTTCTCAGCAGAAACCCTGTAGGGCAGACGAAAAGAGGATGACATTTTCAGATACTTAAAAAATATGTTTATTTACTTGATAGGTGGGGTTACAGAGAAAGAGAGAGAGAGAGAGAGAGAGAGAGAGAACTTGTATCTGCTCATTCATTCTCCAAGTGGTCACAACAACCAGGGCTGGGTGAGACAGAAGCCAGGAACCAGGAGCCAGCAGCTTTATCTTCCACTGCTCCCCAGGCACATCAACAGAGATTTGGATTGGAAGTGGAGCATCCAGGAATTGAACCAGCACCCATATGGATTCCAGTGTTGTAGGTGACAGCTTTGTCCACTATGTAACAACTGAAGCCACATTTTCAAAGTCTTAAAAACTTTAAGCAAAGTATTATATCTAGTGAATCCATCCTTTAGAAATGAAAGACAAATAGTTATTTCCCAGATAAACAAACACAGAGTTCATCTAGTACTTCTGTACTAG